CCGGCACTCGATCCACTGAGCCACACCAGCCAGGGCTAGTTTAACATCTTGATCGACAAATATCTTTTTTTTAAGTCCTCCCCTAAGGATATATAATTTTTAAAAGATTTTATTATTATTTTTTTTTTAGAGAAGGAAAGGGAGGGAGAAAGAGAGAGAGAAACATCAATATGTGGTTGCCTCTCAAGTGGCCCCCACTGAGGACCTGGTCCACAACCCAGGCACATGCCCTGAGTGGGAATCAAACCAGTGACCCTTTGGTTCACAGCCCACACTCAATCCACTGAGCTACGCCAGCCAGGGTCAGGATATATAATTTTTAATTGATCTGAGAGAGAGAGAGAGAGAGACAACCACCGATGTGAGACAGAAACATCCATCTGTTGCTCCCATACGCGCCCAACAGGGGGTCAAACCTGTGACCGAGATATGTGCCCTGACTGGGAATCAAACCTTTGACATTTTTGCTGTATAGAGAGATGCTCCCACGAACTGAGCCACCTGGTCAGGGAGGCAAGCACCTTAATTTTATGTCTTCATTTCATAAACGCACTGACTTACTTGTGTATGTGGCTTAGAACCTCACTGTATTTATTCCTCCCTAACAACCCTGTGAGGCAAGTGCTGCTCTCACCCCCAGTTTGTAGACGAGGCCCAGGGGCTCCCCTGACATGAGGGGTGCGGTGCTCTGTGCTGTGCTCCCTTGGGTGAAACTCTCTCACATGTGTGCTGGCTGGCACCAGCATGGTCTGGTAAAGTCCACGCTTCTCACCGAGATTCATGTTTTCTTCAGGGGCCCCGTCTGCTCCTGCTGCACTGGGTTTCCCCACTCAGAGCTCCTGAAGGTCTAATGGGTCTCGAAGGGTGGTCCAGGGCCAGGAAGGTCAGCTCCCGTTCCCTGACCCCTCCCCAGACCTCCATCCCAGAACCAGACACTCTGGGGGTGTTGGGGGGCAGTGTTCTGTTATAAGAAGCCTTCCGGGCGACTCTGGTACACTCGAGTTTGAGAATGAGCCCTAATTCCAGCAGCCTGGCAGCCTCTGCCTCTGATGCTTCTCTGCCCAGGACTCCCGAGGCGCTGCACCCCTTCTCTGAGCCTCCTCCCCACAGGCCCCTTTTCACTGCCCTTTCCTCCCCCAAAGCCAGTCCCTAATGTTGCTTATTGATGAAGACTGTGCTTGTCATTAGCTCTGTGATCTGCCCTTGGAATGATCTTCACACTCCGGACCTATTTTTTCCTTATCACACTTTCCTTGCTTTACCTGTATAATCACTGTACTTGTCCCTGAAAGCAGGCAATTTGAGACTCAATGCCCATGTCGCTCACACATCCAGATCACAGTTCCTGTATTTAAGGAGATGTTCAATGAAGCACTGTATTGAATGACTACTATTAACCCATAGATCACCTTGTTTAAGGTTAAGTACATTAACAAAAAGGAGACTGGGAGTGATCACCTACTTTGAAAAAAAATGCCTTACAAAGCACTCAAAATATAATTCTTTGGCAGAGCCAATGTTTTAAAATGACTTCATTTATCTTTTCCATCAAAACATCTGTGCTGCGTCTCCCGCGAATTGCCCAAAGACTTCCGCTCTGACATGACACGCTCCCGGTTGTCTCATGCACACCCCATGGCTCACGTCAAAGTGCTTTCCCTGGGGCAGTTAGGGTTTGAGAACCTGCCATCAAGCATTCAGCACTGAATGTAATGCTCCCACATGGTAGGACTTCCATGTCATGAAAGAGCATCTTTGTGTGTGTGTGTGGCCTTTTTTTGAGTTCTGAATGTAGACAGCGTCTGCGCCCCTCAGCTATCATAGCCACCACAGCACACGGGCACCTCTTAGAGTCAACTGAAATCACTACTACTTTCCCCAGCTTGTATCAGACCTCCCTGCATGTGATCAGAGATTACACTGATGACTGATTACATTGTTTTAAAGAGGCACATAATTATTTCCCCTCTTGGGACGTGTCTGCATAAAATGGGGTTTGAGTACCATGCCCTTACTGTCATCCATTTGAATCAGATTCACCACTGACATTAAAAGGTCTTGCACACTCTTCAAGCTCTCTGGGCACAGGTCCCGCCCTCACCCACAATTCCAAAGTCCAAAAACCTCTGAAACCCATTTTAGAACTCATTTGGTGGCAAAAATCTGATCAGAAGCTATTTATAGGCTATGTTTAGCTCACTCAGTATGAGTTCCGGCACTTTTCTGCAGGAATGTTTAACTTGACTAAAGGTCTTTTTCTCCAGTGTTCACTGAGGTTTTACCACCAAATATTCAGTATACTCTTTGTATTAACTTTCTAAGTTAAACACACACACACACATGCACACAAAAGTGAAATAAAAAACTCATCTGATCCCAAGGGTAATAAGATGAGGTCCAAGCCTGGCACAAGTGTAATAAAAGGGATTTTGACCCAAGCCTGGAATAAGCATAATAAAAAAAAATTCACAGATTGTTTTGTTGCTCTGTGGCATGCATCTACTTTTAGTGGTGGAAAGAAATAAAGCCACCTTTATAATAAAAAAGTTCCATGTTAACATTGCACATCAATCAATCCAGGTTATTTCCGATAACTTTTCAAGGACCTACAGATGGTCGCAAAGACTTCCCCTATTGTTCCCACATTTAAGGGATGTACCCAAGATTACAAGCGACTGCCTTGGGAATTCTGAGACATCATTGATATTCATTTCTACCTGAAGTGTTCCAAGTCCTAAGAGCACAAAAACTCAAGCTGGAAAGTTTTTCCCGCTATAGAGCTTCCAGATGAGAACTTTCTGGGCTAAAATCGTGTTAGTTGAATACATCTTCATGTTAGGAAGTGGAGCATAAATGTTATCAAAACATTGTATTCAAATGTGCATTCTGTATAAATTGTTTTCTTTCCAAGTGTGGTGAGTTGAATTCTTGCATGACTTTTTTTTTCTAAAAATAAAATTACTTAGAAGAAATTTCCCCTCACATGTCTGTGGAGTCCAGTGGAGCATTTTATAAGTAATTCTGTTGCCCACTTAGAATAGCCAACGAAGTCGGGGGGATTCCACTGCAAAGGTATTTTGTTTGCTTTGTTTTATAAGGAAACAAATCTATTCCTTCTGTGGCCTTAAATGCACCTGACTTTTTAGCTGTGAAATAGTGATAGAAAACCTGCCATACCTTCAAGTGTTGATATGTGAGTTAGGGGTAATTTTATGAAATGCCAAACCACAAAAGGGAGCACTGAGGCAGTGAGGGGTGTGCGTCTCTGATCACCGTTACCATCAGGAAGAATGGTCAGGCTCATCTTCACTTAATCTGAAAACTTCAGGTGGTCACAATGCAGGAGACAGAGAATTGAAGTTGCCATTCCACCAGGTGGAAGTAGAAAACGGTGTTACCGAGGGGAGAGATGGCTGGTGTGGAAGTAAGAAATAAACCGGCTGTGGGACTGGGCAGTTCAATCATAAGGGCTGGGGAGATGAGCTACAGGATGAACACTTGTTTTAAAATTCAGCTGCTGGTATTTCAGAACTAGTGCTATTAGCAGCTACTGTTTCAGATGTAGTTTGAGTGAAGGGAAAGATTAAAAGCCATCACCACAGGCAAAACTGGAGATGAGTTTGTACTTATATCTCAGTGCCCTTGACTTATCCTGTTGTGTAAGTAAATAAACATGGTCCCTCCTTCTACTGACCTCTTCTGCCCTCTTGGGACAGGGGTTAAGGCTTCTTCTGGGGTCCAGAACCTCCCCTAGAGGAAGGAGTGGACAACGTGCTTCTCTAGTGGGATTCTGGCAGAATCTGGGGACGCCTGCTCGGAGGAGCTACGTTGGCACTGAGGGTCCTTTTCTAGTAAAGACACCAGTGTTAAGCCTCTAAATTTTACTTGAGGTTCAGTAAGAAAAGAAAAAGGCAAACATTTTCTCCCTCTTTCTCCTCTATTCCTCCCTTGGAAAACCAACCCACCTAGGAAAGAGGAGGCTGGTCTTCTTTTGAGAAGATAACTGCGAAAGGAATCAAAGCAGAAGAGTGGCTATCAAGCCTGCGAACACATTATAGTCAGTGGGGAAGCTTTTCATAGATAGGAACATATGTCTGTCCCTGCAGAGCAGCACTGTCAGGATCTTGGGGAGCTGGCATTCTCTCGGTTCTCAGCAGTGGTCCGAGTCGTGATGATGTGAACCACGCTGCATACCACTGGAGAGATCCTGAGATTATACAAAAACTACTCAGCCCCGCATTTTGCCCATCAGCCAGGAGGAGGGTGGAATCCTGCTGCGAAAGGAGGGGACTGTGGGTGCTGTCCACTGAATGCTACGTGGCTCCGGCCGCTGGAGACCACATGCTTGACTGGGAAAGAAAGTTGAATGGAAAATGGCAAAAGGAAATAGACTCGAGAAAAGAGAAACCAAATGAAGATATATTTAGTGATTTTCTAGATACTTCTTTTTGTTTCAGGAATTCTTTATACCTTCTCTGCACATAATATGTTGTGTCATATGTATGAATCGGAAAGAAAACGTGAACAAGTGCAAGCACACAGAAAACTGACCACTGCCAATCCAGTGACTAGCTATGAAGACGTCATGTGATAATAATCTATCTTTGCGAGCATGGCACTCGTGAATCGAGACTTTTAGAATATTTCAGAAGGGACAGTGCAAGACCACACAGGAAAAAAGACAAGATTTAGGGAAGAGTAGAATATTTTATCCCTGCCCTAGGCACCCAATGCCTACCCAGCACATACTGGGTTTGCAGTGTGCCTGCTCAGCCTGCTTGAAAACAAATCCCATTTGGCCCCATAAAGGGGTGTTCAGGTGTCTAGGCCATTGACTCAGTTCTCCAGTCTGGAAATGCTCAAAGGATGGAGGCGGACCTTGTACAAGTCCTGTAAACCATGTAACCACATGGAATCACCTTTCATTCCCCTCCCGACCCGCCCCGCCAACTGGCATTTTTGTGTTGATAATAGTTGAAATGTTAAACACAAGTAAAAAGTTGGACATGTTATTGGGCTAGGTGTATTAAAATAAAATCAAAAAATAGAAATATTAGGTATGTACATGACAGCATAAGTGAAACATGTGCTAAAGCATTTTTCCATTCAGACCTTACAGTGGTAAGAAACATTTAGTAAACAAAATTGCATGTATCTCTTGCTACAGTGGTTCATCGGAGCCTCCTCAGTTGCTTATTTTCCTTTTCATCCTGTATAAATAGACTCACACACTTAGACCATTTAGAAAAGATTGCTGAATCACAAAAGAGGACCCAAACATGGCATTTTTGAGTAGTACAACTAAAATTAATATTTGATGATTAAAATAATGTTCAAATCATTTGAAGCAATAAGGAAAATTTTTATGTTTTATAAAGTTCTACAGAGATTAGAATCTTATTCTTCTTCCAGCTACATTGTCAACGAAAGTCAGTATATAGGACATTGTGGAGCTGAAAAGCCAGACCGTTTACTAGTAGTCATTCTAAAGGCAGAGCAGGTTCTGAGGCTCTTCTCCCTTGGGAGGTCTGGGCAAGGCCCGGCAGTCAGTGAGGTCCATGTCACTCAACACGGCAGCTCTGCATGGCTCACAAATGGCACGTCTATAGAAAAGAGACCAGAAGAGCGAAGCCACTTCCTCCCTGGGGGTACTGGCCACTCTCCACGGATGGAAACGTTTAACAGATTTCAGGTGGACGGACAATCACTGAAATCTGGGAGAGACATTTTCAAGCTTTTGACTTCACCTGCAAAATCTAACAGGTTAGATTAGTAATTTTCAAACAAATAAGCCAAAGCATAGAGAAAATACGAAGAAGGGCCATGATAAGTAGCTGGTTATTTTACTTTTATAAATGCATTTAGGTCTACTGTTGGAGATTTATTGAAATGGCCTCTGAACCTTTGAGTCACACATCCAATTGTAAACAAGAGGCCAGAGTGGGTGTGTTTTTTCCTCAGAAGGCTGTATTCAGATGTTGGCCAAGCAAGACGGCCAACTGGAAGAAGGCCGAGGGGCAAACCCCGAGGGGACTGAGGGCATCCTCTGGTGAGAAGATACTCTTCCACGTAGAGTGTTTCTTCCTGAGTAATTTAGCCTCATTGCAGGAAGCAGGGACGGTAGATGATCTTAACACATGAAAACTAGTACAACCAGTAGTTGTGATTGTTTCTTCTTTAACGAGGCAGCTGTCCCTGTGAAGTTTGCGGGTCTTGCTGCGATCTAAGGCTGCTGCTGATACTGGCCTTCTGTGGCAGTGTAGAAATCATCCAGGACGCTCTGCAGGTAATCAAACGTCGGCCTCTCTTCTGCCTTTTCTTTCCAGCACATCTTCATGATTTCATAGAGCTCCTCTGGGCAGGTCTCCATGCGAGGCATCCTATAGCCCTGAGACAGCGCGGTCATCACGTCGGCATTAGTTCTCCCTAAAGCAAGAAAGAAAAAAATGCCATACTTAGCAACCTGACTGAGGGGTAACAATTGCACTGATCTTGCTACCCACATCCTGCATCCATTACTAAATAATGGGTGAAGGATGAAGGATGAAGGCTGAAATAATTTTAGGAGTGTATAAATGTAACTACTCCTTAACTGTTAAGGAGTTGAAATTCGTTTTGGCACTCTGGAGGCAACCGCAAGGCTGATGTGGCCCCCAGTGAAAATGAGTTTGACGCCCCTGCTCTAGAGGCTGCTATGAGCTAAATCATGCCCCGGCGAATTCATATATTGAGCCCCCAGTACCTCAGAGTGTGGCTGTATTTAGAGATAAGGCCTTTAAACAAGTCATCAAATGAAAATGAGGTCTTTAGGGTGGGCCCAACACAACCCGAATGGTGTTCTTACAAGAAGAGAGCAGGACACAGAGTGACCCAGGACTTGTGTGCACAGAGAAAAGGCCATGTGAGGACGCAGTGAGATGCCCATCTCCGAGCCAAGGAGAAGCCTCAGGGGAAACCAGCCCTGCCAACACCTTGATCCCAGACCTCTGGCCTCCAAACCTGTGAGCAAATAATTTCTGTCATTTGAGCCACTCAGACCGTGGCATTTTGTTATGGACACCCTAAGAAACTGATACGAAGGCTGAGAACATTTCTATAAGCAACCAAATAATACAAATTTTAGTACAAAAGGGATCAAGACAGCATTTAGTTTGCCAAAGGGAAACAGGCAAATGTGGTAAGCAGAAGACAAAGCAAGTTCTTTCATGACAAAAGGATGTTGGATGTGACTGACCTTGTGAATGGACTACTGAAGCGCAGCCTCAACCCTCAATCTCAATTTCTTTGGTAGTAATTTTTCATCTTCCATCTGTCATACATCATCAAAATCATATGCACATACATGATCTTGTACTAATATTTTTAAAAATCAGCTCTTCGTTGTAAATTTACTTAAAGAAGTCGGGATCCTTAAGTCAACTAAGCCAACTGATTATGTTCCAGGTATTAAATCGTCTGTCCTCAGCACAGGTGAGAGTCCAAGCTCACACTGACTCTGGAATGTGTGTATCCTCGATACCCGGTGAGGGAAAGAGGTACTTTCCTACAGAGCCCCGTGAGAGGACTGACCCTGAAGGATGACTTTAATATGGTCAAATGTCTCACAGTAGTTCAGATGCTGAACTTCCAAACTTTGTTACTGAAACAGCTTTAGGAAAAAAAGATCATTTTAATAACATTTTCCTTCGTTGTTAAAATGGGGCAGAGAAATGAGCGAATGCAGCGGTTTTAGCAGCACCTACTCGTATCTGTATATTTTGCCCATTTGGTGCATACCTTATTCTGCAGAGACAGGAACCTCTCCAGAGAGGAGCTGTATTCCATCCAGAATATTTTCATGCAAAATATGTACACTGTCTGCCCTGGCAAGGTAGCTCAGTTGGTTAGAGCATTGCCCCAATATGCCAAGGTTACAGGTTCTATCCCCAGTCAGGGCACATACAAGAGTCAACAAATAAATACATAAATAAGTGGAACGACAAATCAATGCTTCTCTCTCTCTCTCAAACCAATAAATACAAAAATTTTTTTAAAAGACTATGTACACTATCTGGCATATGTAGAACTCCATCAAAAACAATTTCCTTTCCATAGCTATCTCTTCTTTCCATAGCCATAGATTTTAGCACTAGTGGTCACTAGAAAGACTCTGAACGATAGCTAAAAGCTTAGGAAACATGACTTTCACCAGCTTTGGAAAAGAATCTTCTTTTGAATTTACTCTCTAAGCAGTGTTTTTCAATTTATGGGTCACAACTCATTTAGGATCAACAAATTCATTTTTTAGAGAACTACCAGTATTTTTTTAAAAAATTAACAATACAAAATCAGAAGGCACTATACATGTAAAAGTTAACGTGGTTTATGAAAATTTTGTTCTATATATGGAGTAGGTTTCTGTATATTTCTTAACATGGGTTATGATCAGTGGTCTCTGGACTCTGCTTAACTAACCTTCCTTCTTCTGAGGACACAGTGACTGGAAGTCCCCGCCTGGATTTAAACCTCCGAAAGAAGACATATTGTTTCTGCGTGGAAGTGTCCTTGGTTTTAAAATGGAAAGATCCGAGCAAACTTTCCAATTGTTAAGATCTCTCTTTTTTTCCCCCAAGGGAAGAGTTGAAATTTTTTAAAATTTTTATTTAGTTATTTTTCAAGTACAGTTTTCTGTTTATTTCTCCCATTCCAGCCCACCCCTCCCCCATGCACCCCACCCCCCTCCCATTTCCACCCCCCTTAGTTATTGTCCCTGTGTTCTTTATACTTGTTCCTCTAAATCCCTCCCATTTTTCCCCCTTAAATTCCCTCCCCTCTCCCCTCCGGTTGCTGTCCCCTGTTCTCTATTTCAGTGTATTTGTTTTTATTTTGCTTGTTTGTCTGTTTTGTTGTTTAGCTTCCTGTTAAAGGTGAGATCATATGGTATTTGTCTTTCAACCCCTGGCTTATTTCACTCAGCATAATGCTTTCCAGTTCCATCCATGCTGTCGCAAAGGGTAGTAGATCTCTTGAAAGTCGTTTAGATGGTGAATTACTTTTTCTCATGTCAACTTCTGAAATACCATCTTCAAATATTTGTATAACTCGAATGTTCTAACTAGAAGACCATTTGATTCTCATTGCGTGGAGCCATGGGGCTCATTTGCATCTTTCCTTATTTGGGGTTGGGGTCTCCATAAAGTTTGTGGCTTTGCCATTGCCTTGACTCTTGAAACCAGCCAAATTTATTTAAATAACTTTCAGAAGAAATGTCTGTGTTTACTTCTGCATGGGGGTTGGGTGTGGGTCTGGGATCCTGGTGGGGGGACTAACATGCAGGATGATAGAAACAGCAGCTGGACCCGTGAACTTGGTTAAGAATATCTTTCACTTCCTGCCTGGAGAACCTCCAATGGCATAAAAGGTCAGAATGTGCCCACAGAAGATAAACCTTTCTAGGGCCCCTTAACCCCAGTGCAGACATTTCTTCCTCATTCTCATATGTGCTCCTCCTAATGGCGAAGAACTCTCTCAATGCAGAAAAAGGCCGGCAGGTTCCATTCTGCCTGGGGAATTTAATTTGGTAAGAAGAACAAAAGGAAGAAAATCTGGAGTCTATCTTTTAATGTAAAAATAAACCAATAAATAAAATAAGGCTATTAAATAAGTCTTAGATTAAAGTCTAAGATTAAAGCTGACACTTGGTAATCTGTCTGTTATTAGGTCAAAACCAGCAAACACCCACTGGCTGCTGATCTTAAAATGCAAGCACTTTCATAGTCCATCCTTCATTCTTTCAACAAGCATTTACTGAGTACTAACTGTGGGTATTAGCACTAAGCTCTGCGAGATACAAGAATGATGATGACGGAGACTTGTCCTCAAGTGATACACAGCCCAGTAGGGAGGGCGCTCCCAGGACAGGGAGGTGGGTGAGCAGGAGTGGGAAGTAACATCTGGAGTGGGTAGGAGTTAGCAAAGACTAAAGGTTGGTGAAGGAACACAGGAAGGAGGAAAATGAGGCACAGCAGAGGTTCGAAAGGAACAGGGTGCTTGTGACAGGAGATGAATCCCGCAGCTCCGGGAACTACGACAGTCTTAAAGACAAAAGGGCCCTCAATGAGTGTGAGAGGACGGAATTAGCAGCTCCCATGGGACCACAGTCTCCTACCCAATGATACTTCCAAAAGGGCAAATCAGTTTTTTCCGAGCATGCTGTGACTGGGGTAACCATTTGTAGCAGGGTGAGTCTCCTGGCCCCGATTCACCAAGGACGTTGCGATGTTGCATACAGCTGGTAAGAAACAATCAGGAAAGATAGGATGCTTCGTAAAACTTCATCATTTTCAAATCTCCTTTCTCTTTATAAAAGCAAAGCAACACAAAACCCCAACCACAAAGATCCCCTCTCAGTTTTTTTTTAGAAAATTCAAATGTAAATATTATAGCTTTGCTTTGAAGATAGTGAAGTAAAAACTTTTGCCCCACCTTCTTGTTTTTCCTCCTTAATTCATTCCTTCCAAAAGCAGAACAAGAAACAGAAACTTTAAGTCTGTCCTTGATGAAGCTGGGAGACACCTGTCGACCAGAGGCAGAAGTAGTCTGAGCCAAGAGGAGGAAAGTGAAACTACAGCACCTGCAAAAAACAGGTGGGCAAGATGTGTCCTCACACCGACTGCTCCTGGGAAGCTCCACATAATCACCACACACGCAGAGGTGAGGTGCGTGGCTGCAGACAGGACGGTACCTATGCAGCCCTCCTGGCAGGTGTGCCAGGGTAACACTGGATAAACTGAAGGCACGCCAAGCCCCATGGAGGTGGGGGTAAAGGGTGGGATGGAAGACCCAGAGTGAGGAGAAATGCTGACCGTGAAGAAGCGAGACGTATTTCACACCTCACAACTTGGATGACCCTGAAGGACATTGTGCTGAGTGAAGTCAGTCAGACACAGGAGGACAAGCAGAGTTCGGTTCCACTAAAAAGGAGATAACTAAAGTAGTCAAATTCATGGAGATGGAAAGTAAAATACAGGTTGCCAGGGACTAAGGAGTTGAGGAAATGGAGTTAGTGTTAACGCACAGATGTCAAACTCATTTTCACTGCTGACCACATCAGCCTTGCTGTTACCTTCAAAGGACTGAAATAATTTTAGGATTGTATACATGTAACTACTCCTTAACTGTTAAGGAGTTGAAATTGTATTTGGCCCTCGGAAGGCAACTGCAAGGCTGATGTGGCGCCCAGTGAAAATGAGTTTGACACCCCTGGTTTAACGGGTATAGTCTCAGTTTGGGAAGATGAAATAGTCCTGGAAATGATGGTAATGGCTGCACAACATTGTGAATGGACTTAATTTAATGCCACTGAGCTGTACACTTAAAAATTTGATGGCAAATTTTATTTTATGTATATTTTACTATAATAAATAAATACAAAAAAAAGAGAGAAA